ATAAGACTAGAATTACTGAAAGCTCTATTTTTACATTTTTCTTACTCAAAATATCACTCTTCTCATCTCTTCCTCCCATATACAAGATTTAGTAATTTCTTTCAACATCTTAATTTTAGTTCTCTTCATTGCTACTTTCCTTTTAGTAACATTTTTTCCTCCACTCTGATCTCTTCCATGTGTGTGTGCACACGAGAGTGCACGTGCACACGCACACACATATGTGACTGTACTAAAGCTTGAACATAGGACCTGGCACAGTTCCATAGCTTATTCACTCAAAGCTGGTGCTCTACCACTTGAGCCCCAGCTACACTTCTAACAATTTTTGGTTATCAGAATCTCATAGACTTTTCTGTCCTGGCTGGCTTTGAATCATGATCTCTGACACCTGTGTAGCAAGAATTACCAGCATGAGCCACCAGAACCCAGCTTGTGTTAAGCATTTTAATTGTACTATTTCATTTATTCACCGCAGTCTTGTTATCTTTAGCTTCAGATGGACAAACTGCAGCTTAGGGATGAGAAATGAGTTTCCTAAAATATACAGCTTCTAAGGTTGGGTAGAGATCCCAAATGTATGCGGGTGTGGAGAAGATTCCCAGGCCTTGGTCTTCAGTTTGGCTGTGATCATGTCCATTGTAGACAACATGGAAGGAAAATAAAATACTTATCCATTTAAAATCACCCATACTTTCCAAATCTACAAAGCCCTAGATCTAACACTTTTACTATCTTTCTTCCTTTCCAGTTCTTTTTATGCATATTGAACAGGAAGTTTTAAATTTTTAACACTTACTATGATTTTAATTTTAAATAAGTTAACATCCTTAAAATATATAAAATCAAAAGTATTATTTAACAAAGAACCTGTTTTGATACTTTGAAAATAGCATATTTTATATGTTATTTTAAGTTATGTCTTCAAAATAGAATAAATCATTTATTAACTATTATTTGACTTTTCAACAACCTTGCATCATGTTAGATAATATGTCATTGTTAAGTAAAAACAAAACATTGAGTTGTGATTCTCTGACTATATGCTAATGGAAAAAATATCCTTTATATTTTTATGCAATTTCTTCAAGGAAACAGAATTATAAAGGGAAATTCTAAGAAAAGACTACAATTAATTTTTAATCCAGAACACTTCTAGTCTATAAGACAAAACTGATACAGAAAAATATTTTAGACTTAATGTCTAAAACAACAAAGACTGAGTGAACTGTCAACTATGCCCAAAGACTGAGGAGAAATTCTGTATACAAATGGATTTCTAATACAATGGCTCAGAACTATGACCAGCTGTGCTTTATGCTAGAAGATTGATTCCTTGGTCTTTAATCATATATTTGTATGTTTCAAAATGAATACAAGAAGTGACTTCCCTCACAAAGGTTATCTACTTGGTACAATGAGCAAATTAATTCTAAATAGCCATGACCCTCTAGCCAAATTCTATTTCAAGTGACTGGAAGGAAAGGAAGTTGAATGCCCTAGTTTGGTTTGGCATTCTCTCATTTCTTTTGAGAATTTAACTGTAAACCCTTCCTCCTCTTCCTCCTCATCCATTTAAAAAAAATTTCAAACAATTAACTCAGTACTTCTATATCAACATAGATAGGATTTCAAAACTAGGTTGAAATCATGCCTCCATCCTTACTATTATCATAAATCTGTCATTGAAATTCCACTCTTCATAAAATGGGGATCAATGCTTTGAAATGAAGAAACTATACTAAAATAGCACATGCTAGGTGCTCTAAAAAATTTTTAATTTCTATCCTGTGCACTTTCCAGCAAATCTCTGAGAATACCTTTGACCCAGTTAGGAAGCAGCAATGACTTTCCTGTGTATTGCAAACTACGCATATACTTATATATGGCTCTCTCGTTGCTCCTCTCCCCATCCCTGGGCAAGCATCCTTTCTTGGGATACTATAACTGACTAGTCTATGACCCCACCTATCACAGAGCTGGGGCTCAAATGAAGGCCTCCTCCCTTGCTAGTTCTGTGCTCTGTGCACTATACCAGTGCCTACCTCTTCCACAAATTCAGAAACAGCTATCTGATTTGGGATGTGTTTTGCTTATGATAGTAATCGACAATTAATGATTCTATATTATGCAAAAAGAAAAAATAAGTAGAGTTTGAAGAGATATAACCTCCAGACATTTCCTTTTAAATGTCAGCCACTCCCTTTTATGAAAAGCAGTGTTTTAAGATATTAGTATTCTAAGTGTAGGGTGGTAAGCAGTATGTTTTTGCATTATCATGGGATGGCAAAATTACCCACTCTCAAAGGACCAGCTGCAGCAGGGTGACTGGCACCCATGTTGCCGACATTCTCACTATTTTAATTGGTAGTTTCTGGGATTTTATTTTTTTAGCCAGAGAGGAAATATATGTGTAAATCTACTAAAGCCATACCATCTGCTAGTATGAAATAGCACCAGTGGCTCTTAGTGATATTCCATGTCAGGATTTCAAGGCTGCTAGTGTTCTCAGATAGGCACAGAAAAAGTATAGAGCAATAAAGGACAAAACTTCTCTCCATGCTATTTACAAGATATGTCTAATCTGATCCTGCAATTTGAATTGATATGTACAACATCCATAAAATCATCTATCAAATTAAAATTAAATACATATGGAGACACAAGGGGAAAGAGCCTGAATTTTTAAATAAGAAGATCTAAGATCAACTCCAGTCGCTACCCAAATTGCTGTCTTTATTTATTTATTTATTTATTTTTGCCAGTCCTGGGGCTTGAACTCTGTGCCTGGACACTGTGCCTGAGCTTATTTTGCTCAAGGCTAGTGTTCTACCACTTGAGCCATAGCACCACTTAGGCTTTTCAGTAGTTTATTGGAGATAAGAGTCTCATGGACTTTCCTGCCTGGGCTGGCTTCAAACCGTAATCCTCAGATCTCAGCCTCCTGAATAACTAGGATTACAGGAGTAAGCCACTGGCACTCTGCTTGCTGTCAGTTTTAAAGGAAGATCTTAACTACTTACAAACATTCTCATTTCTATAATGTATAACCACTTGCAAATATTCTCATTTCTATAATGAGACTAATGAGGCTTGTTACATCAAATTACAGAGACTCCTTTAGTTGAAAATAATATACATTAATAATAAATATTGCACTTCTATCAATAACCATTTATTAGAATCTTATTACATCACAAGGTCTATGGAAGGGCTCATGTGCATATCACTGAATTTTGTTGTTGCTGTTGCTTGATTTTGTTTTTGAGATGAGTAATCTTTATGTATCTCAGGCTGTTCTCCAACTAGCAATCCTCCTGCTTCAACCTCCTGGGTGCTGAGGTACTAAGCATGAAACATCATGCCTAGATTATGTTTCCTAATTTAGTCCTCTTCTCTGAAACCTTTTATACTAGATACAACGATTATATCCAACCTACAGATGAAAATGTGGAGGCTTAGAGAAGTTAAGAAAGTGACCAGTAGTTACAGACTTAGCAAATGGAGGACACAATAAGTGAACTTAGTCTTGCTCTTCATTCAACAAATACAAAGCTTTGGGTACTGATGGCTTAAGCCTATAATCTAGCAATTCAGGAAGCCAAGATCTAAGATCAAGCTTTAAAACCAGTAAGGCAGACATCCAAAAGATTATTTTTTTTCAAAAGATTCTTATCTCCAATTAACTAGCAAAATGCCAGAAGATGTGTGGCCCAAGTGGTGGAGCACCAAACTTGAGCAAATAAAAGCTAAGCAAGAGCAAGAAGCCCTGAAGGCCATCCCCAGTAAATGCATACCCACACAAAAATAAATCTAGCTAAGTAATAAATCTCCTGAATAATATTGGACAAGGAAAGAGGAAGCAAGAAATGGAAGTTTTGTGGGCAAATTATCATGTTTACTTATTTTGGGCCACTGCGTAAAAAGACTGAATGCAAAGATGTCAAGAGATGATCAAGGTTGATGAGGCAGAGAGATAATAGTGTGTTTAATCAGGTGGTGGCAAGGATACTAGAGAAGCCTGAATAGGGGAGAAACTAAACAGGTACAGTTGAATGTGTGGTGACCATGGCAAAGGAGTCGGGAAAGAGTTGCTTCTCATTTTTGACACTCAGAAACATGGCTACTTGACATGAGGAAGACTGGAATGGTTAATAGAGTGATGAAATCTTTCTTGTCTCAAAACACCATGCCCTTAACCACTGTTAGTGTTATCCTTACTTATCAGCATTAAAACTAATTTGAAGTCTATGCCACATCACTTTAAACTTCCTGAAAAGATTTATGGAAAAGTCAAATTCTTCCTTTCTTATGTGAAAATGGAAAAAAATAAAAGTTGAACATAGGACATGCCCTAGTTCTTACTTTTCAAAGTAAGTGTCTGGGAAAAGATTGAGAATTTCTTCAAGCTTCATTACATCTAAACTTGAATATGTATAATATCATGACATGAATTTGAGAGCAAGAGACATTTGAAGATAATTTGCCAGAGAGCTAACAGGTTTGTGTTTAGATGCGTGAGTCACATATTTTTTTCTTCTTTCTACATTTTTATATTTTTTCAAATGTTCTGCAATAATTGAATAGTACCATTGTACTAATAAATTAAGAATTTGGGAACTTAATTTATAAAAGACAACTGTTAGATCCACATAGTCCATAGTCATAAGTACTGAGAAACCTTCAAATCATAATACTGATTCAAATTATTACAATCAGTCAAAATAATGTTATAACTGACTGATATTTTAAATTAAATGCCTTTCTAGCCATGCTATCCATAATACACTCTCAGTAAAAAGGGTTGAATTTCAAGATAGAAATTGATCAATATATGGACAATTTGTGGAAGACCAGGAGGTTGAGAAAGTTAGAGGTTTGCTTGATTTCTTGCATTTTAAGGACTTTTTTCCAAATAAGAGCACTTGAAAAGTATTCCTTACTCCCAGGCATATTAACCTCTTAGCTTCCTGAACCTTCTCTCCTCTCCTTTCTTGCAGGGTCAATGATTGTATCCTGCGGGTGAATGAGGTTGATGTGTCTGAGGTTTCCCACAGTAAAGCGGTGGAGGCACTCAAGGAAGCGGGCTCCATTGTCCGGCTCTACGTGCGTAGAAGACGGCCCATTTTGGAGACAGTTGTGGAAATCAAGCTCTTCAAAGGGCCTAAAGGTAATAGAAACATGGCTGACCATGTGATTGAAGTGTATGTTCTAATATATATATGTGCATATATATATGCACATATATATATATATTTATTTATTTATGCTGGCCCTAGGGCTTGAACTCTGGGCCTGGGTGCTGTCTCTGGGCTCCTTTTGCTCAAGGCTAACACTCTACTGCTAGAGCCACAGCCTCACTTCCAGCTTTTTTCTGTGATTTATTGGAGATAAAAGTCTCATGGACTTTCTTCTCAGACTGGATGGATCACAGGTGTGAGTCATAGTCACCTGGCTTTCTAGTTCACTTTTGATGTACCATCTTTAAAAAAAAATTTTTCTGACATCTACCGCTTTCCAAGAGGAAGTCTACAATAGTGATTTTTACAGAAACCAAAACTGTAAATATGAGTTCAGATTTTTGTAAAAAGTCTTTGTAAATGGTAATACCAACTATCGCTTAACCCTATTATTTTTTTCACTTACAACTTGGCTATCCTAGTAAAAGTCTGGTTCAGTCACTTGCTTAGATCAGTCCTCTCAGTATTGGATGAGGACCAAAGTGGCAGGATTATTGCAAAGGTTTTGTGAGGATTAAAATTTGAATGAGTAGGGCACTGGTGGCTCATGCATGTAGTCCTCACTACAAAGGAAGGTAAGATAGGAGGATAAAGTTCGAAACCAGCCTGTGCAGAAGTCCATGAGACTCCTACCTCAATTTGACCAGCAAAACACTTCACCTGTCTTTGCCTTAATTTTCTTGTTCAGAAAATACAAGTCAAGGTTGGTAGGTCCTTAGAGATGCTGTGAAGGTTAGATGAATCTATTCATATGAAGTATTTAGTATAAACTCTGGTACAATTGAATGCCCAACAAATATTAGCTGTGTTTATGTGTTATTTGTAGTGCTAATATACGTGCTTAGTTTTTGTAACAATGTAGTGCAAAATCTCTCCTGTCTTAAATTCCGGTGGATGAAATTCACTGAATTGAATATCAAACAAGGCATAAGCGAACATTCTCATACTACTATCTTTAGTGCATGAGAGAAAGACTCTCTATCCAACTCATTTAGCAGAGGTGATTTTTAAAAACCAAACAAACCTAGCTTATACATTATTTCTTTTAAAAATGCATACTATATATAAACAACATGTAGCTATTTGTACAGTTCAATCAGCAGCAATTATTCAGCACACCCCTAGGCAAATACTAATTTAAGCACTCAGGAACATATTACCATCCATTTGTTGGCTTCCTGCTCTCTGTGTCACTGAATGACCCCCAGCTGCTCAGCAGAGCACTTAAAGGCTGTAGGGAATTGATGGCCAAAGGCCCTCATTGTTTTTCAGGAACACCTCCTTTGGATCTTTCTGTTGGCAATCAGGCCTCCTCCAGGTGGCTTTCTTCCATGGGCACTGGAAGTACCTGGAGTGAGGGGCTGGATTTTCCTTGTAGCACAGAATGGGAGATGAACAGTGAGCATTCATCAACTAGGGTATACACAAGCAACAAAGAAAGTACATGGTGTATGGAAGATGGGGTAATACCCAGGTGTGGTCTGCCTAGCCAGAAAGAGGTAGCAAATGCTTGGAAATAACTTTCTGTTCTGAAAGTTGGCTGTGACCAAATCTCCACGGGGCTGGCAGGGGTTCTGCTGAGTCAGCCTTGCATTCCTTCCTGTCCTTATCCAGAGGTCACACATGGGGATTTATTTCTCTATAAAGAGACTATTGATTTACAAGGAAAGAAAGTGTTCTAGTCATTATTTGAATTCCTAATCCCTCTCCCACTGCTTTAAATCTGAAAAATTAAATGGCTTCTACACTAAATCTGATGATATCTTGGGCTTTCTTAACTTCTCTTAGCACCTTGTAAATTGTTATGTTTGAATTGCAGTCTATATAAAAAGAATTTCTGCTATTGCTTAACTTACATCATAGAAACCCTCATACTGTGGAGAATGACAATGACTCCGATATGATCTCTTTTCTCACAAAGCCCTAACGAGAAAGATAGATGTAAAGTCAACTAATTTTCAAACAGGACAAAATGAAAGTAGTTCTGTGATGGAGTCTGAACGATGACCTATATGCATCACTCATCTTAACATCATTCCTCTTAGAGACAAGATGCTCCAGAGAATTAAAAATGTAATGAATACACTGGTCCTTTGATCTGTGGGTATTGGAGAGTCAGCATCAACAATCCAGTCTAATGAGCTAACTAAAGTCAATTATAAACATTTAATGCTGAACTAGTTGAATGTATACTAATTTAATCTCCAGCAATTCAGTAAATTTTTACTAAAAACTTACTGTATACTTGTATGGAGCCAGACAATGCAGATTCACAAAAGAAAGCTAGTTCTGGCTCTCAAAGAGATTAGATAGTTTTATGGGTCATTAAAAAATCTCTCTCTCTGAGAGATTATATAAGATTACATAATCTTAAACCTGTAATATAAACTGGGGAAAGTGATGTGCATTATCAGAAAAGATTGTTAAGAGAGAACCAATTACATAACAGGTCAAAGGAGATTTCTAGAAGCACCTACCACTTAAACTAAACCTTGAACTATAAATTAAAATAGGAGTTTCTCCAGGTGAGGTCCACAACAGAATTCTGGGTTGGTAAGAAGTATGCAAGTATGAAGGCTTCCTTCTAATAGTGAAATGATCAGATAATGTATGACCTGAAGTTATATACCCTAATTAGGCAGAGGCTAGATGCCTAGCTTTGTTGGCTGTATTTAAGGATTCATAACTATTTTCAAATGCTAAAATTTTAACCATGGGAGGGATATGGTTGCCATTGTCATTTTAGATCATTCAATCCATTCCACATATAGAATGGATTGAATGAAATAAGAATGAAAGATCAGGGATAGGCTAAGGGTTACTTGGAACAGTCAAAATGGAGAATGGATGTGAACTGTGTGTTTGAGATATTTGATGTATTTACTGAACAAGATAAACTATGTGTCAAGGACAAAGCTCTGTCTTCTACTTGGGGTGCCATCTGTGAATGGAATGTGATAAAGGAACCTCTGTGGAGAGATGATTAAGAATCCACATTTGGACATGTTGGAAGTCCATGGCATATCTGAAAAGATCTCAAAGAAATATATTACATCCTTCTATATTTTCTCAAATATCTAGATTTGGGAAAATAACCCAATGCTCTTTTTTTATGTGCTGGTCTTAGAGATTTCACTAAGGGCCTGGGCATTATAACTGAGCTCTTTTTACTCAAGGACAGCACTTTGCCACTGAAGTGGACTGACTTCTTGGACAAAGACGCTGACCAGTATCTTAAAAAGCTGGAGTTTATTGGATTGACTGGCCGGGGCCAACTCAACTCAGGAGTGAGCAGCCCTGAACTCAAATAGCTTAGGATTTACAAAGGCAAAAAATGCATTCTTTTAGAGCAAGCAAGCTAGCTAGCATACAGAAGCAGAACTTAGCCATTATTTTGCAAGCGCGTAAATCACAAACATTCCTGAAATAATCAAAACCATAAATACTCCTGTAACAATTTCTTGACCTGAAGCAACAAGCAGTTCCTGATTTCAGGGCCAGGTGTTTTGCTTTTTCAAAACTAGTAATTACAGTGGAAGGGGCAGCCATGGCAAATGGGCCAGTTACAGTAGAAGGGGCAGCCACAGGGTAAATAGGCCTTGTCCTTTCCTCAGAACTAGTTGTTCCAGTTCAATCCTGCCTTGCAAGTTTAGCCCTATTCTTAAAAATCAATAATTTTGTTCTGTTTCTGATTTCACATTTTATATTCTTTTTTTGGGGGGGGGTCATCACACCACTTGTGCCATACCTCCATTTCCAGCTATTTTCTTCTCTTGGTGGTTAATTGGAGAAAAGAGCCTCATGCTTCAAAACATGATCCTTGAATCTCAACCTCCTGAGTAGCTAGGGTTGCAGGCGTGAATAACTGGCACCCAGCTCCAGTGATTCACTTTTCCACTTCCTGTCAATAATTGTTAGTTTCAGAATTATGAATATGACCACTTTGTAGTCATATAGCCTACTTTGGCTATTTGAAACCCATTATAAGCATTGATTTTTAAGCATCCCTAATACTCTGTTTTTAATTGGAGGTTGTTTCTGGGGTACTTTGGAGGGGGTGTTTTTTGATTTGAGAGTTTTTTTGCACAGAAGTTAGTATCTTTATACCAGTGACTTGTGGAAAAATTATAGTTATTACATTTTTCCAACTCCATATCTTGCATTTATTATATGTGCTACACAAATTGCTCCTCTGAGGCACCCTTCGATATGTATGTAATGTTAACCTTCCCAGTTCTCCAATACTTAGACTATATGGTTGATTTGGAGCTGTATACTTCAGTTATGAATAGTTGGATACAAGGCAATATGATTTAGAATATCTTAACAATACAATACAATTTCCTAATCTCATGGTCAGAGATGTGTTCACTGGAAGAAACTGGAGTGTCAAGTCATTTGAAGGGAAGACAGATATCTATCCATAAGAAAGCAGTATTTTATTCTTGCCAACCAACTGAAAATCAGGGGACTTCAAGGCAATTTGATACCCAGATCATAGGGTTCTTTTCAGGATAAGAATCATGAATTCTTAATAAATGTTTATAACACTTTAATTGTATTATAATTCACTGAAAATTGAATAAGATAAAGCAGCAATGAACTCATCCTAGTCCTTCAAAAGTATCTCCCCCGATATTTTGTATAATCAATTTACTTTGTTCCAAGTATTCTAATATTCAGAAATTTCAGATGGAACCAGTGTATGTTTTGCTTCTGCATGCCTTTATATACAAAATTAGCATAAGCACACACCACACTATGTATTTCATATTAGTTTTATATGTGTAGACTATACATAATATAGCAAACATGTATTTATTTGTAATTCTATAAAATGTATTTTTATCCAGGTATGCAGTCTGGATAGTGATCACCCTATAAATCTATGGTCTTTTAAACTTCCATATTTTCCATCTAATTTATTTAT